GCACAACAACAGCAGAGTCCTAGAGCATCTGTGCACATCTAGGCTCTGTAAGTTTTCTAATCTGAATGCTGTGACCTGTTGGCTTCCGCTCAGAATGGCCTGGGGCTTCTTCTGGCTTCCGCCCAGAATAGCCCAAGACACCTTCTGACTCCTCAAGCCAGAACGGCCACACTCCTTCACACAAGGTCCTGCCGCTCCACGCCTACACTAACTATACATGGAAAGGGCTTCAGGTTCAAGCAGCAGTAGTAGTAGTAGTAGTAGCAGCAGCAGCAGCAGTAGTAGTAGTAGTAATAATTGGTATTGGAGAAAAAGCGCCAACAAACGCGAAAACGCATGATAGTAATAATAATTAATGGTAGTAGCAATAGTAATCGTATTAATATTACTATTATTGTTATTCTTAAAAAGCTTAGTTTATAGTATCGGGTTTGGCGTTTTAGTCGCGTTTTCGTGTCGTGCCGACTCCGCTTGTGCGCGCTACGCGCAAGAGCGGCTCGCTTAGGGAGCCCCCAGCCTTCTTCGAAAGCGATCCGGAGGAGCACTATGTGGAACTGGCGCTCGAGAACCTGACACGCTCCTGGAGCCTGGAGCCTCAGGTAAAGTCAGTGGTGGGGTTGCAAAATTGAGGCCAGCGCTAGCATTCATAAGAACCGTATTGAGTCATACTCCTCTGGCAAGGCCGTGCCTTGCCAACTTGCAGGGATGCCACTTGCGTATTCGCCAGACGAAGAACAGTGGTAGGACACGGAAAGCTCGAATGGACTTTGTCGCTGAGCCGAATGACATCCGGTCTGGAGCAAACATCGAGATGCAGTTTGCAGCTGCGAGATATTGCGAGATCGTACCTTTGTCTTGAATCGTGGCGACCGCAAGATGGGGAGCGGGAAGCTTCAGGGTTTCTCCGGCGGCCTGTCGCCCGAAACCCAGGAAGCCAGGAATCTAGCCACTCGCAATGATGATCATGGAATCCCGCGCCTGTGGAGCAGTGCTCCTTCATTTTGCGGTGTTAATAATCAGGGATCGATTCCGCACCTGGCATCAGGCGATCCCAAAAGTCGATGGTGAAACTCGCTGTTCTGCTGTTCCCTTTCCCTTCTGTCGCTATGGTGATGCCTTGGCCCTGGCCCCCCTGGCCGATGCGGATCTTCCGACCGTCGGGAGCCACCCGGGTCCCGGGACAAAATTGGTGCCAAATGGGCAATCACCGGGTTTTCCGGTTTCACGAAGTCGTGATGGCCCGTCCGCATCCCGTTGAAAAGATGGTGCCTAGAGATTCGACGCGGGTCTAAGGCCGCTTGGAGCTGCCGATCGTGGAGGGCCCCTGGCGGGTGGAGAGCTTGGCTGCTCTCTTCGAGCAGCTGCAGGACGGCCTGGCCGTGGTGGGCTCCAGTTCCTCCCGGTTTGCGGCCGTGCACGCGGACCGCGTGAAGCTCTGGCAGGACCGCGAAATTGAAAAGTGAAGCATGGTGAAGCGAAGCACTGTGCTCACACTACCTTGCACTGCATTGCACTGCTTGCCTTTCAGGCGCGGTTCGAGAAGGTGGAGGAGTTGTTGTCGGAGCTCGGCTCCTGCCAAGAGCGGTTTGGGCACTTGGAGGGCATCTTCGCCACAGACCTGCAGAAGCAGCTGCCGAACGAGTTCCTCACATTTCAGCCCGTGGAGAGCACCTGGAAGGCCTTGCTTCTAAGGCTTTCGCACAGGCCCCAGGTGGTCGATTTGGCTTTGGACCCTCAGAATCTCCAGACGCTGCGCCAGCTTGGCGAGGCCCAGTCCGAAGCCAGTCCGCGACGGAACCCTGTCCACACCTCTCCGCCCTGAGACCATGGACAGCATCATCAGGGACCTCGATGGCTTCCTGGTCACGAAGCCGCTGCGGCTGCAATCACCCAAAAAAACGGCCCCGGCCTTTTTGGCGCTCTGTGCCCTCTCCGAGGCGGCAGAGCTTCCCGCGGCTCTTCTTCTTTTCCGATGCGGTGCTTCTACAGTTCCTCCGGCTTTTTGGGAAGCGCAGCTCTCCAAGAGCCATGGAGTTCCTGGCACGGCAGTGTTTCCCAGGTGCGGCCATTTCAGTGAGGGCACCCTAGCCAGGGCCAAAGCTTGGCTTTGCAGGTCTGGGCTCTTGGGAGCTCGAGGACAGCGCTGTGACCACGCTGCTCTCCGTCGCCGGGGAGCGACTGCCCCTCCTCGCTAAGGTGCGGTGTGCAGCGGGTTCTTGGGTTCCATCACTCCTGCAAACAATTTGTGGCTTCGCCGCAAGAATCAAATGCGAGATGGGAAACAAATGGAACCAAAGTGGGATTGTCCGACAGCAGATGCAGCACATCACCAAGCAGCGAATAGGGCAATAAGAACACGAGCTTATTGCGGGCTTCGGGGGGTGAGTTGGATTCCCACATGTTTCTCCTTTAGATTGCCTCCTGCTTTGCCACCGTGTGGTTTTGTCATGGAAAATACGTGAGAATCTACACGTTGCGACGTCTGTGTGCATCGTCAACATCTGTAAACCTTGAGCCCTGCGTTAGACTGCATTGGATTCGGGGAAACACAGGGCGCGCGACTCCTTTTTCGGCACCCCGGTGTGAACAAGCAGCCGAGCCCAGGATGTATGCGGGGAATACGTTGTAAGAGTTTGGGAGTATGAGGGACCACATCGATTGTGCGGGCGTGGCATGCCACCGTGCCCCCCCCCTTTCCTTCCACGGAACGACGACAGTCGACTCGACCAACTGCAAGGTCGAAGTCCTTTCGACTCCAACAGCAGTGTACAGGGATGGTGAAAGTTGTCGTAGCATGTACGACACCCCGAAGCAGCTTGACTTCTATGCAAAACGCATGGAAATGTGAATGGAGCACTAGTCGAACATGGATGGGACAACAGCGGACAGTTTCAGTTCTTGGGAAAATGATGAAGGCACACTGGAAAGGTGCCCAATCCCAATAAGGGACACATGGGGCCACGAGACGGAAGGTAACAGCCTGGCTCGTGTAGGTGTCTCATGTTGTCTCCAACTTGCTGTTACTGTTGAGCTGAAGTTGACTTGTCAAGGGGCCCTCCAGGGAAAGGGGCCATGGGGCCAGCGCTTCGTGAGGTGAAGCTCCGGGGCCCGGAGCAGACGCTCGAGGCAATCCAGACTTCGATGACGGCGGCCTTCCGACAGCTCCTGAAAGGGGCCATCGAAGAGGCGCCGCTGTGTGGGCCCTGCTTTTTTACTCTTTTTGCGGTGCTTATTATAAGGCTGCTGTGGGCAACGCCGTGGAGTGGGCCGTGGCGTCCGCTCTGCCAAGCCAGGCTGAGGGGGGAGCGGAAGAGTCGGAAGCGTGCGACACTCTCTTCACCCCTGATCGGGGAGGTCGTGGAAGTGGCCTGGCAAGTGACCTGGACGATGCAGCTGGAGCCTGGGGCTCAATGCCCGCTGTGCACCCGCGATCCCTGCGCTTCCCTCCGAACGGTGCAAAGCACGGCACGGGCAGAGAGGTCTTTACTGTTGCAAAGCCGGGAAGCAGCCAAGGACTTCAGCGAAGCGCCGCGTTTCCCTTCGCGCTTCCCCCCCCCCCCCCCCCCCCCCCCGCTCCGCAGGAGCATCTTCAGCACTGGCACAGCACCCTGCAGCTGAGGCCCAGAGATGCTTGCAGGGCTTCTTGCGTCAAGGCGTGATGCTTGCAGGCTGCTGCAGCGCGCGGTCCGGCAGGGCAGTGCTGGGCAGCGGCGTGTGGCCTCGTCCCTGCTCGTGGTCTTCAAACAGAGGCAAAGCCAGCTCGAGCTGCTCGGAGCTGTCAGAGCTTTTGAGCTTTACGCATCAGTTCACAATATAGTTGAAAGCTGCAAGTGCTAACTGCTAACGGTCTCCTGTACTTGTCTTGCATTCCACCACGGCTTCCAACTTCGACTGAACATCATTGAAGTGAAAACTTCAGCAAGCTACAGCCTCCGTTGCGGGTCGTTGGGCGTGAGCCACGGGCGCGCTCTAAAGAAGCGGCGCGCCGCAAAGCTCAGACGTAGCCGGCGTCTCACGACTCACGCATCTCAAGCGTCTCGCAGTTAGAGTTCTGATTTGAAATCAGGGGCGCCCCATCAGTCAAGGCTCCAGTCTCGGAATTCAAGCCTTGTAAGAGTTTTGACTTAAGACTCAGGGGAGAAATCAGTCAGTCCAAGGCTCCATCCTCGCAGTTCAAGCTTTGTAAGAGTTCAAGTTCAAGGTCTGTAAGGGTTCTGATTTAAACATCAGGGGCACCTCATCAGTCCAAAGCTCTGGATCTGCTGCTGTTGCTCATATTCTACGACGACGACGACTACGACACCTGCAACGGCACCAGAGTCCGGCTCCAGGGTCTGGGGCGCTTGCGCCCACAACCGAGATCAGCGCCAAGCACTCCCATGCCAAACATGCCTTCTCATGGAGGCTGGCCTCCCCCCCCCCCCTCACACACACAAAATTCTCCTGGACCGCGCCTCATAGATGCTGTTTTCGGATTGACTGTCCGAGGGCCCAGCGAGACCTCGCCACAGACAGCGTCTCCGCGTTGCTCGAGAACATCCGCGCTGCAGAGGCTCCCGAAAAAACGCGCGAGACCCTTGTCTGCAGCCTATTCGAGGGACTGACTTCACAAGTGCGGGCTGGCTAACAGGCGTCGTCAAGGACACCCACATTCAGAATTTCGATTTGTGCCACACAAGCCCAACGCCATGGGAGGGAACAAGAGAGGCTTTGGCCTTGCACGACGGTGTCCGTGCAGAATCGCTGAGCTTAGCCCTCGATGCGAACTTAGGGTTTCGAACATCATGCAACGCGATTGCTTCACGCCTCTGATTCCACTCACAGAGGAGTCAGTCCTGCGCCGGCTGTCATGCTGTCTTGTCGACGTGACAGATGGCTTCCTGGCGCAGAACGAACCATTGGATTTGCCCAGCGTCAGATCGTTGTGTCCGATGGCAGGGATCAGGAAGGCTTTTGGAACTTACAACCGAGCAATCATCACCTTTTCCGAAGCGTCGAACTCTTCTGAATGCCCTTTCTCCACGAAGAGACCAGCTGTGCACTTCCGGGTGGCATTCGCGCCACGTGGGCTGCCTCAGGATGAAGCCATGGCATGCGCAAATGGATGTTCGACGAGGAGGAAGAGCACAAACACGTCCACGATGGCTTTGCCCGGACCCTGTGCGACGCAGTGAAACAAGCTGTGGAGGAGGTGAAGGGTGAGCAAGGCCTCTGGCCCCAGGCGTTCATGGTGGCAAAGTTGGACTTTTGCCATTCCGACCGGCTGAGAGCCAGCCACTTGACCATGATAAAGTGCCGGTATTTCGAAAGCCTGCGCGATCCAACTGCAGGAAAAAAAAGGACTAAGCCCAACATCTACCTGTTCGCGATGGCTCTGCACCTTTGGCTACGACAACTCAGTTTGAACGTTGGATGGCGGACGGGGGGCCTCGGATCCTCGTAATGATGTCCATCGTCTACTCCGTCAAGTCATGTTAGCACCCAAACATAGATTTTGTTCTTGCAACAGTAGCGCTAGCTCCGAAGCGCGTTCTGCCCGGGATGGTTGCAACGTGGTCTTGAATTTGTCTTAAAGAGTTGGTCCTGGAGAATGACTCGGCTCCGCACAACCTGGGCTGGGAGACCCCCGCAAATAGCGATAGAAACCTTAATCACTTCCAACGTCTTCATCGACAGCTGTTGAGTGGCAAGACGAAGGGACTGAACAGGCTTTAGGGTTCTACAGTAGCATTGACCCGGGAAACTGGGTCCCGGTTTCGTCCCCCCCTTAAGCCGAAATTCCGAAGCTTTTGAAGACGAAATTGTTCGCCAG